AATTGACTCCCCTACAGCTTCCATCGTTCTGGGCTTTCCTTGGTTAGTTAAGCATAACCCGGTACTTGATTGGGGTTGTCTAGATATACTCTCCTAGGGGGAATCTTGTCAACAAGACTGTATGGCCCGTTTATGTCCCATTTGCTTACTTAATGTGCCTACAGCTAAACCACTTTATATTTCTGTCCCTCCTGTGTATGCAGACCTCGCATTGGTCTTTGAAAAAAGGGAAGCTGATAAACTACCCCCACACCGGGATTATGATTGTGCCATAAATCTGTTACCTGGTACTATGCCTCCTAGGGGTAAGATCTATCCACTTTCTGAGAAAGAAAACCAGGTCATGGAGGAGTACATACAGGAATCCTTACGTAAAGGTTTTATCAGAAGGTCCTCCTCTCCGGCTGGTGCTGGTTTCTTTTTTGTTGCCAAGAAAGAGGGCGATTTGAGGCCATGTATAGACTACAGGGGCCTGAATAATATAACAGTTAAAAAAGCTTATCCTATCCCTCTCATTACTGAGTTGTTTGACCGTGCTAAAGGTTCTAGATATTATACTAAACTAGACCTCAGGGGGGCTTATAACTTGGTTCGTAAAAAAGAGAATGATGAATGGAAGACAGCGTTCAATGCACGCAGTGGGCATTACGAGTATCTAGTCATGCCTTTTGGACTGTGTAATGCTCCTGCTGTCTTTCAGGACCTCATAAATGATGTCCTTAGAGATTTACTGCATGTCTGTGCCGTGGTTTATCTCGATGATATACTTGTATATTCTCCTGATTTGCAGTCACATCATGCCCATGTGAGGATGGTACTTAAGAGATTGCTGCAGAACGGTCTTTATTGTAAATTGGAGAAATGTTTATTTGACCAAAAATCAGTACAATTACTAGGGTACATCATTTCTGAACAGGGATTCAGCATGGATCCTTCAAAATTAGAAGCCATATTGTCTTGGCCTCTTCCTCAAGGCCTTAAGGCAATACAGCGATTTATAGGTTTTGCCAATTATTATCGCAGGTTTATTAAAAACTTTTCATCAGTCATTTCTCCTATCATGAAACTGACTAAAAAGGGTTTGCACCTCAGGGTTTGGACTCCTGAAGCCGTTAAAGCCTTCGAGACTCTCAAAAAGGCATTTGCCACTGCCCCTGTGCTACACCATCCTGATTACGACGTCGGGAACAGGGAACTATTAGCTATTGTAATGGCTTTTAAAGAATGGAGGTACTTATTAGAAGGAGCTAGACACAAAATCCTGGTTATAACTGATCATAAGAATCTCTCCAGATGGTCCTTATTTCTTTCACGCTTTCAGTTCATTATCACATATAGGCCTGGGTACCGTAATGTCAAGGCTGATGCTATCTCCAGACAATACAAACCTTTGGAGTCAATTGCCCCCGCTCCTGAACCCATGTTGGTAGATTATACGTGAAAGAAAAAGAGAGAAAAAAATTGTTAGCTTTATTTCACACCGCCAAAACGGCTGGTCACCCAGGGGTTACCAAAACATACAAGGGTCTCCTTCAACAATTTTGGTGGCCCTCACTTAAGCAAGACGTAGTGGATTATGTGCAGGCTTGTCGTGTTTGCGCACAGTGTAAGTCCCCTAATGTTAAACCCCCGGGACTCCTAATGCCTCTATACGTGCCCAAGAAACCATGGACCCACTTATCCATGGACTTCATTGTAGATCTTCCTTCATCTGGTGGACAGACAGTAATTTTGACTGTGACCGATATTTTCTCTAAAATGGCACACTTTATTCCACTTAAGAAACTGTTCTAGATAATTTACTGCAAACCAATTAGTTTGAATGACTATCTGTTCCTGTCCAAATTAAAGATAATAAAGTTGCGTGCACGCAGAAGTAAATTCACACTGAGACACAAGGTTCAGGGTAATGAAAGAACTTCAGAGAAGTTTAATGGCTTCTGCCAGAAAATGGGTGCGCAGACCCTTATAAAGGCATTATTACATCATTGAAGAAAATCAAGATATAGACAAATAGACATTGTTAATTGGCTTAGGTGCTAAGATGTTAGTAAAATGCCCTCCCCATTCTTAGGTCACTATCTACGTAATTTCTTAACTCCTACAGGTTTTAGCGCCATTTTGTTAAAATGAGGAGCTCACTCGACGGGAGGGGCCTTTTGGCAGCTATCCATTTGGAGCGTAGCTGGCACTTGTTAGTTTCTCAAGGTTAAGTTTCAAGGATTTTAGTAAATACACATTTTATCAAAGCTATTTCTTGCTGACATGCAAATTCTATGTTCTATAGACAAAGCTTCCTTGTAAAACTATGGGGGCCTCTTAGAGGTATAGCAAGAGGATTTAAAGGGGCCTTACAAATTTATAGAGGCCTAATAATTCTACAACAGTCCCCCCTAAAATGTTATTTGCTAAAAGACAAAACTTTATTTGTTAGTATCAGAAGAAGTATTAGCCCAAAGACACAGAAACCCCATGACCGCTGACTTAGTGTTAATGCAAAGTGCAAGTCTATCCCTCTCTTGACCCTAACAGGCTGCAGCACATCCGTCAGTACGGTTCAGGAACACTCTTCACTCCGCTGGTAACCCATAGTGGCTTATCCACTACTTCTCCGTACGGCAGTCTACCCATAAAGACGGACGCTGTCCCTGTACTGTCCCTTCCTAGACTTTCTGCACTTCATCAGTATAAGGGAGAGTTTGTAGCGGAATACAGGGTGAGATGAGGTCTTGATCATCGATTGTCAGATGAGTGAAGGTTGGTGTTGCTTGGTCTACAGTTTTCTGCAGGAATTTCCTTAGGCATGGGAGGACACAACAAATGAGAAGAGCGAGAATAAAAAGAAAAATTAGTAAGGCAATACCAATCTGGACTAAAGCTCTCTGCCAACCAGTCATCCAACCAAACCATTTTTCCCAGGGATCAGTAACTCCAGAGTTTCTCTTTAACTCCTCTGAGAGTCTATTTAATTTAGCTATGGCTAGAGTGACTTTACCATTAGGACCTGTGTTTTCTGGAATGTAAGTGCAACAAGTCATAGTGTCGGGAAGTATTTTACAGACCCCCCTTTTTCGGCTAAGATCATGTCTAAGGCCAGTCTGTTCTGGAAGGTCATTTGGGATGTGGCCTGTAATTGCTCGGCCAAGCCCTGGAGGGCATCCCTGGTGTAGTTCACGAAGCGCTGTTGGTTGTAATAGATATAATTAATCCAATTAAGGTTTTTGTTGGCAGTGACTATGGTAAAAAGTGATTCAAAACCTACAGCTACTTCATCTCTAGCTTTAAATTCATTAGGTACCCCCCTAGGCACCCCAATGGCATCTATGTAAATGTGGGGGTCAAAACTGCCTTTTACTGGGGTTTCGCGCCTTACTCTGGCTGATGTATGTGGAGGGTCGTATGTGTCATGATGATTATCAGAAATAATATGAATGGGCATGATAACTTTGGCCAGGGTACACTCACCCCACCACTCAGTTTCCAGCCTAGATCTTAACTGTAGATCCCCACATAACCAGTAAATATCTCCCAATGACCTGGTATGGTGTTGCAACAGGCGTATAGGAACAGTTCTGTAAGTGGCTCAATAACCTTTAGAAAAATTACCCATGAATTTACCAATCCCGTCATACATGGCATAACAAGTGTAATTACCTCTATAGACTGTGATTCCATCTGGTGGCTTAACATTTTCAACTAAGAGAGGGTATTCTGCCGTCCATGCCATGCAGAGGGACCTATTAAAGTCATATTGGTAGGCAAAAAGGCTTAAGAAGCAATCTTCTATCTCTAAAGGGAGAGTTAGGGGGACGGTGCCAAGGTGGGGTCGGGCACCGCCACATACATAACATGCTGTTTTATTATGTTTGTTAGCATTATACCTCATCCATTCTAACCACAGATTAATGTCATTGAATCCAGTTTCAGCGGCCATGGTATCTTCAAAAGTGGGGTTAGCGATGGCCATCATATCTTTAAAGGACTGGATATGTGGTTTTAGCGGATTTGGGACCATATGATCAGCCCCTTGCCACTCTGGAGAGTGGGACATATCTCTGAGGTAGAAATGACCTAATTTGTTGTAGGAACCTTTCTTCCAATACATTCCCATTACATATCGGTCTGCATCCTCGGGGCCAGGATGTTCAATATTTAACATTAATTTCATAGGGGTACTTCCTCCAGGCTTTCTTAAAGTCATTCTTTGAAGGAGGGATCTACCCTGATTGTCTATCTTAGATAAAGCACTTTTGGGTTTATAACCCCAGGCAGGCCCAGTATTCCATCCCGCAGCCCCCCAGTAGTTACAGTCATAACCCCATTGTTCATCTACTACACAAACGTAAGGGTCTTTTGCTTGTGGGATATCTTTATAAATGGCTTGAATCTGTGACTTAGGGAATGGGCATTCTACAATATCACAGTAATCAAAAGTGAATGTAGCCACATGGGTACATGATGAATTATACCAGAAAGTGTACCCACTAGCATCTTTGGTGATGGCCACCTGCTGGGCTTTAAGGAGGCCAACTAAGGAGATAATGTACCAGAGGCACATGGTTGCATAGAATTAGCTTCCTCTGGGGCAGGTGTCTTCTTGCAATGGGAAGCGTGGATCCAGTTAGGCCTTCCGGCCAATTTGACAGAGGTAGGGGAGATCAGGAGAACTTGGAACGGTCCGTCAAATCTTGGTTCCAGGGTGTGTTTTCGCACAAATTTCTTGACCAGAACCCAGTCACCGGGGAGCAGACTGTGGTTGCCTGTGTCAGAATCAGGATCTGGAATTTTAGAGAAAACTTGGACATGGATTTTGTTCAAAGCATTTGCGAGTTCAGTTACATAATCTACTAAAACATCAGTTTGAAGTTGTAGTTGTTGGGGAAAATAGCAACCTAGCCTAGGTGCAGTCCCAAATAGAATCTCGTATGGGGACAATGAGGTAGTATTTTTGTACAAGAGCATTCATTAGATCTTTTTGATAAATGTGCAGGTCTGTGTGTCCATTGTACGACTGCTGGGTACAAATTCTTAGGGAGGCAGAAATTGAGGTTGTTGGAGTACACTCCATCCTTCAGAACTGCCCCTTTCTGTTTCCACTTCTGTATTTCTTCAGGGGCAACTGTAGCCTGTTGTTCCCGCAGAATTTTCAGGTCAGTTGGAAGAGTCTGCAGAGTAAATATGGGAGTCTCTTCATTTCCGGACACTCTTCTTTCCACTTCCTGTGGTTCTCTTGCAGCTTGTTTTGCAGCTTGATCAGCTAGATGGTTGCCCTTTGCTTCATCTGTGTCCAACTTCCCATGTGCTTTTATCTTTAAAATAGCCACTTCTTCTGGGAGTAGGAGGGCGTCCATCAGCTCCTTGATTGCGGAACCGTGCTTGATTGGTGTACCGGTGGTGGTAAGAAATCCTCTTGTTTTCCAAATTAATCCGAAGTCGTGAGCCACGCCCAGTGCATATCTTGAATCCGTGTAGATATTGGCGCGCTTTCCTTCAGAGATCTTGCATGCTGAAGTCAGGGCTTGCAATTCAGCTTCTTGTGCAGACATAGTTGATGGTAAAGATGATGATTTGACAATTTCATCTGTTGTGGTTACGGCATATCCTGTATGGTATCTTCCTTCTTCATCAGCATATCTTGAGCCGTCCACAAACAGGGTGAGATCGGGATCTACCAATGGGTCTTCATGCACAGTTGGTAGATGTGTTGTTTCCATTTTCATCTGTTCAAAACAGTCATGAGGTGTATCTGGGTCGTAGTCATTCACTATGGTTAAATCTTGGAACTCATTCTCCAGGAAATGACGCGGCCATGCTTTTAGGTGGTCAGTTGTTGGATATTTGACAACACCATTTTCCTGTAGCTGTGATTCGTCCATAGTGGCCCATGCTTTTGCCATAGGCCCAAGATCATTCCATGATATTGTTTTCAACTTGGTCACAGGGACATGTGGAATGGCAGTGTCCCAATGACGGTACAAATGCTTGAGTTCCGGAGGTAGATGAATCAAGACCATACTGTTGCCTTCAGAATCACAGTAGAAGTCTTGTGCAGTGAGTTTTACTTCAACCAGCTTATAGAGTTCATCTTCATAGCAGGGTTCAGGAGTGATGTTTGGTTTGTACCACATGGTACAGAAGGCATGTCTTGCTCCGTCATGAAGGAGTGCTTGTCCATCATAAAAGGATAGGTTGGGATGCATTTCCTTCTTGATGGTGCCAGTGAGAAGAGAAACATAAATTTCGTCCATGATGAATCCGTAGTATACACCCCCCTCAGGGAGTGGCAGAAGAGTGGACGGATTGAGAACTTGACATCTTTGGAGGGTAATGTTGTCAGGCAACAAAAGATGACATTGAAGGCGAAGATGCCTGGCAGGAGTAACATGCTTAAGCTGGACCTGGTTGACTATGGCAGAAATGTCATGAGGGGCCAAGACAACCAGGGGGTGGCCAAGGACAAGATCTCCAGTTCTTTCAATGAGCTCTCTGGCAGCAAAGACGGCCCGAAGGCAAGAGGGACGTCCTCTGGCCACAATATCCAGTTGGCAGGAGAAAAATCCAATAGGCCTTTGGCGGCCTCCAGGACCATGGGCCTGAGTGAGTACTCCTGTTGCATGGCCTTGTCTTTCAGAAACAAACAATGTGAAGGGTTTGGTATAGTCTGGTAGGCCAAGAGCAGGAGCAGAAGCAATAGCACGTTTGAGAGAACAGAAGTTGTCAAGGGCTTCTGTGGACAAGCATAATGGGCCTGACTTGAGAGCATCATAAAGAGGTTGCATAAGGAGCGAGGCTTCTGGGATCCATGCTCGGCAATAGGAAATGAGGCCTAGGAAGGCGTGTAGTGACTTTGAGATCCTTGGAGGTGGAATGTCCAGTACCGCTCTAACTCGGTCACGGGTAAGATGTCTGGTTCCCTGAGACAGACAATGGCCAAGGAAAATAACAGTAGGTTGGCAGAATTGCAGCTTGAGACGTGAAGCTTTACATCCTTGTTCTGCTAGGTAGCAAAGAAGATTAAGTGAGCATTGTTCTGTTGTGGGTATATCATCTCCACAAAGCAGCAAATCATCCACATATTGAAGCAGGACGACCTCAGGATGGTCAGATTGCCATGGATCAAGGATAGAGCACATGGCCTTCGCAAATTGACTTGGTGAATTTTGTGCCCCTTGGGGCATGACAGTCCATGTGTACTGTTGTTTGTCATGTGTGAAAGCAAACAGATATTGGCAAGTTGGATCCAGGGGAACACTGAAGAAGGCATTGGCTAGATCAATTACAGTGAAGTACTTGGCAGAGGGTGGAATGCCGGAAAGGAGAGTGTGTGGGTTGGGCACTATTGGAGTGTCCAAAACTGTGGCTTCATTTACCGCTCTGAGGTCTTGGACCAATCTGTACTTTTCTGGTTCGCCTTTTGGAGTCTTTTTCTTTACTGGAAATAATGGAGTATTGCATGGTGATTCACATTTGACAAGAGCACCCTTCTCCAGGAGTGCTTGAATTTGAATTGTAATGGCTGCAGCTTGAGCTGGTTTCAAAGGATACTGTGATTTTCGTGGCAATTTTACGCCTGGGATGAGCTTTACCACCACAGGCGGGACCTTTAGATGGCCTATGTCCTCTGGGCCTGTGGACCACAGCTTCTTGGGAACATCAGTCTTTAGTGAATCAGGGAAATTAGTCCTTAGGTCTTTTGCATCCCCATGAGGCTCTTCTAGATGTAGCATCAGGGGTAAGGAGCACAAAGCTGAGGTGTCTGAGACAGATAGAGGGGTGGATAGTTCCACTTGTCCATCTGGAGTAAAGGTGATGGATGCCTGCAGGCGTGAAAGAACATCAGCTCCTAACAGGTTAATGGGGCATGTGGAAGATACCACAAAGCGAGCAAGCAAGTTGTGGCAGTTACCAACCCGCAGTGGGGTGGACAGGGGACTTTGCCTTGGAAGGCCGTCCACCCCAACACAGGAGACATCAATATTGGAAAGAAATGAGGTATCGGGCAGGTCTTGTTCTCTCAGAACACTTCGGGCTGCACCTGTGTCAACTAGGAAAGTGGTGGGCTGGCCCTCAATGGGTAAAATTACAGTAGCTAGAGGCCCCCCTTGTTCCCCTGAAGACACTGCCATGGCAGGGACATTAAGCATCAGCGGGTTTGCTCTCCTCAGTATGGGCTGTGTTACTGACTCAAACCCCTTTCTATGTCATTAGCCATAGCTTTTCGCAGTCTGAACATGTCTATCATTATAAATAATGGTTAATAGTAAGTGAAGTAAAGTTCCTAAATGTCTTTGGATAAAACATTAACTATTGCGGTACTATCATTTATATTAATTAGACTATAACAATTATACCACCCTGTAACTAAAATGAATAACCAGTAGTGGCTGGGTTAATAAACATGTCACAAACCCTTCTAATGCTAAACCATCATTTAAAGTAAAGGATGTTACTGTAAACATAAGATCTGTAACTAGCAAGATTCGATTAAGTAAAGATACAATGTTTAAAATAACTTGCATTATTTAGCTATTTCCCTTGTTGCAAGATGAAGCTGGATAATCAGCTGTTATGCTCTTATATTCGTGTCCAACAGATTTCATATGTAGGTCACACCACAGTTGCAAATTACATTTTAGCAACCTTCTTTTTTTTTTATATCACGGACAAATTGCTGATACAGGGAAACAAATGGCATGATTGTTTTAGTAATTATAATGTTTCTGTTCATAATATGTAGAGTGTAAGGAAAACAACATAATAGGGTAGGCCTCATGATGGAGGCAGCCATGACAGGGGCGGGGAAGGAAATGACAGCAAGGGAGGAAGTGAGAGGGGTGACGTCCATGATATGTGTGGGAAAGGAAGACAGGAGGTGTGGGCATGGTAAGGGCGGAAGTGACGTCACTTTAGAAGCAACCGTGACTGTAGATAGGTCTGTACTAGGCGCCATCTTTAGGGTGGTGGCTGACGCACTTTCAACAATACACTATATTATAACTATTAAAATAAGTCAGAGAAGCAACATTCTGTTCTGCAAAATGAAATACTAAACTATGAACAGACCTGGCAGGTTGAATAAGACAGTTGAGAACATTATGCATTTAACAGCCCATACAGCTGTTTCTAGAAACATGTACTTTAAAATAACTTTAAAATAATAAAATGATGCAAAATAAACTCGCGGAATTCAACCAAATTCCCTTATCTTCCTCAAACCATTAATCACTTTCCTCCTCTTATACTGACTTAACAACATCGCATATTCCCTCTACACCTTCCTAAATCCCGTATTCAACACTGAATGCAATCTTGTGAGCTCGTCACTCCCACAATCCTCAGTACCTCATACTCTTATCAGTAGCTTCTGAATAACTCTACAGAACACCGAAGAGACAGACCTAAATCGCAAGCATGTCACCACCCCCCTCCGCCCCCTCCCCCCCCCGCGTCTCACAGAAGCGAGGGGAGGGGGGGGTGTTTTAGCAGAGGGGGATTTGAGTGGAACAAGAGAGAGACTGCCTGCCAGCACGAATTTAACCATGTCAACGCTGTACAGTAACAAGACAGAAGGACAATTACATTACAAAGCAAAGAGACACAAAAACACAACATTTCATTTATACCCCCACCCTCTACCAGGGTAATGGCTAACACAAAATACAAAAACCCCACAGCGTTTTAAGATTGGGGTGGGATGGTGACCATGGTCAGCTACATTTCGGTCATTACTGACAGGATGATGGAAGTGGTCACCTCCTGGACAGGGCACTGCTGGGATAACTTCCCAGTAACACAATTATTATGATATACATACAATCTTAAACCTTTGTGATCAATATCTTCCTCAACCTATCCCTTTTGCTGAATAGCTCTTGCTACTCGGTATCAGGCTTCTGCTGTACAAACCAAATCTTGGTCCGACAGCTTCCCTTTCTTCTGTCAGTAACTTACGCCAGCTCTCTGGCTACAATCTGCCGCACAGAGGTACGGTAATTCCACATACTTTAGCAATCTTACTCACTTTCTTAACCATCTCTTCTCCTTCTCTGTCTTCCACTAGATCACATGCTAACCAACCCTTACTGGGTTTATCTAACTTCTGTCCCATCCTCCCTATACAAGGCGTCCCAGATATAGAGAGAGAAAGGAACAGAACGTCTACCGTGCTCGACTGCTACTTTAAGAGCAAGCTCTTTAAGTACGTCTTCCCAAAACGTAGACTAGTCACTGATTCCGCCTACCCGTGGTAGCCGCGGATTGGAGCGTGGCGAGAAGTGTGTGACCAATCACTTCTCTCAACAAAGAGAAAGAGAAA